ACCAATAGATCGTAATAAAATCGGTTGGTTTGATGTGAAGCATAGCCCTTCCTCTTTTTGAATGCTATGTTGTGCTTTACTATGTTCTATTCGCTTACATTTTAAATCTTTGAATTTGTTCCATTTGTTCCATTTGCTCGGTGCGTATTGACAAGGAATATGGTTGAATAATCTCGGTTCATATTTATCTATTGTTAATGTAAGCATTATGTCTGCGAACTCTTCCGAAGTGAACAGTCCTTCATTTGCTATGTAAATTTCAGAGAATTCTTCGACTGACATTTCGTCGTATCGAATCAACTTTAAATGGTCGCCGAGCTGGTTTCGTAGATTAATCGCCTGTTTTTCATCCAAACCATCTAGTTTGCATGCATATTTCGCCCAATCCATGCACGCATTGAACACATCAATCGATTCACACGATAAGTTCAGCTTCAAAATGTGTCCCAGTGTTTCTTTGTCACATTGTAGAAATGCATCCGATGTAAATACTTTTTTGGTTAATCCTTTGATTTTACTCTCACAATAGTCGGTCAATGTTTGATTCTTCAGGAACAATGCTATTTGAAGTCCCCAGCATATATTGTCTATCGTCCATTCGTTTTGAGTGAATGTCGCACAATCGTAGAAATGCGCAAGAACATCGTACTTATCAGCCAAACGAGCAACGGTTTCAATATTCTCAATGGTTAGCGTCAATTCGCCCAGATAAAAAATCTGCAAAAACTCTTTGAACGCCTCGACGGATGCATCGACTATTTTAACGTCTCCATCTTCTGTCAACGATCCATAGAACATGCGATCAAACACCGAACTTAATGCGGCCAGATTGGCTTTGTTGGCTGGCACCTTTCGAATTTCATCGCCCACATTGAATGCAAAATGTACATCCGCCAATTTTTCGTTGAGATAGAGCTTCTCAGTAGCTTTATTCTTCAAAGTAATTGCCATTTCACTATACTTATTTTCTCACTTTGAATCAAATGTATTTGGGTGATTTGAATGAAACACTTTGCTTTCAATTTATTTGTTGA